GCCCGGAAAAATCGAAAAGAGTACTACGTAGCGCACTTGAAATAGTTTCAAGGTTGAATATGTTCCGTTCCCCTCCCCCCCCAACCGTCCGACCTCCAGAACCAAAATCGACTCTCTTCTTGAGGAATTCCCAACGTACAACGTTTCTTGATTTTGCAGTCCAGTTTTGCAATGTTCCGTCCTGAGATCCCGGACGAGTTTCAGCTAATCACTTCAAAACGCATTTACGACGTAAGGTGGTCCGATTTCTCTTGAACCAAAACAAACAGTAGTAGCAATCTTACTGATTAATTTTCACGTACGATTCATCCTGTCGTAGATGTACACGATGGGGGCTGACTGTGTGAATGAAAGCTGTTACTCCGCCCCAAAGATTTGTTCTGTGCGCGTAGGCGTGTCCGTGTGTGCTCTCGATCATGGCAATCCCCCCGAGGGAGCAGAGAGACTTCACCTAGAGGTGGGCGGTACAAAAGGCGGAGTTACGAATTAGATACACGATGAAATGCCAAGAGTGGATTTGGCTGTCAGTTGCTCAGTGCTGCACACTCAATAGTTGGTGTTCCTGTGGTGTGGCGGTTAAGTGCTGAAACCTTCTGACGATACGACGATGACGATTCGACGACTTGTATTCCGCCTGATGTTCACCCTCATGGTGCTATTCATCGACGTTCATGCCCAAAACTGTAGCGATATCTGCTTAGAGGAGATGGCAAAGCTACGACTTGAGGACATAAAGGTGAGCCTCACTTCAGAGATTCACAAGTCCAACCCAGGCCGATGCGCTGGACCCTGTACAAACTATTCTCTATCTTGTATATTCCGACGTCATCCAATGAACGCACTTGATTGTTTTTCAAATACACCTGCAATTTTAGAACATCTGAAAATATCACCTTTCGTGTACAAAAAGAACTTATCATGCTGAACAGGTTACCATGTAATAACTGCTGTTACATAGCTATTTTCCTTTAATTGAGGAAGGAGGGTACTAGCGGGTCTGAAAGAAAGAAACCATTTTGCTAGGGTCGTGTTGGATTGTTCCAAGGAAATTTTAGAGCGGCGTTTATCAACAGGTTTTTTCAAACGAATGAAATGGAACAAGGTGCTCAGGTTTTGAGGAGCTGCTGGCCACAGTTCGACTTGGTTGGGGCATTTTGAAGGTACCCGTCAAGCACTGCTGCTGCCTCTTGTGGGAGCCTGTAAAGTTCGCAATAGCAGGAGTTTGTTTTCGTTTAACAAGAGTTTACAGGTATCACCAAATTTGACTTGTAATTCATCACGAACTAGCAAAAGACACTAGCGAATATGCCAAATGCCCTCCCAAGCCGACTAGTGCCTGGCTTGCTGCACCTGGGAATGTCCACCTGCAAAATATGCTAATGTCCGATACCACAGTGTTAACCAGATTCACACCTTTAGCTGTATTTCAGCTAACATTCGATCTGGAACGATAAGCGTGAGCACTGGAATGTAATACCTACTTGGGTGGTCCAGTAAAATTACAACCAAGGACAGAACTCAGTAAATCTGGCCTAAGTTTCAAGGGTTTTTGGTGGAGCAGCGCCCCTCCTTGCTGCCTGCTAAATCGCTTGCTTCTGTATCCGGACGACCATGATTGGTCTGCCCCAAAGTCGTGATGGGTGAAATGACAAATGAGGACGTCACTAGACTCCACACTTCGCGGGAAGGGGGGGGGGGGTAGGGGGGAGGAAGGCGTACAGCGTGCGTGTAATAAAAAAGGACATCTATTCAGAAGAAATTCATGCACAAGGTCCCCAATCCCCAACAAACCCCAGTTCCCCCTAACGGCTAAATACGGCTCTGATCACACAAATATGTATGTCGTCCGGTGTTGGATATCCCACTATATCAGCAAAAAGTAATGCCATTCGACGTTTTCGGCTTCCGAGATTACTGTTTCCAAAAGGATTATCCCGACATGGGGGGGGGGCACTTTGTAAGCTCCTGTCAAGATGATGGGCAGTTCTGTAACGTCATGTAAATTCCTGTAAGATTTCGAAATTTGTTTCTTGTGAGCCCGTTCAAAAAAAGCACAGTAATCAGCGCATGAGTGGGTGCCATGGAAGAAAGGATTACGACTTAGGAGTAGGTAGAGCACGAATATTGAGGACCCTTTTTATAAAGATTACAAGAAGGAAATATTTCATCTGCCTTGAAGCTCATTTCTCTCTGGCTTACACAGAAGCCCTCATCCCCCTTTCACAATCGTCTCGGTAGCTTTTCGTAGTTTCAAAGTAGCTTACAGGGCTTTACAAAATCGACAGGAGTTTACAAAGTGCCCCCTTTTCACTAATCGACCGTCTTTCGTATTCAAAATTCATGTGTCGGACGTAAATAAGCATGCCAGTGCCATTCCAGACAATCACTAAGATTATTTGCGATAATCTTGAAAAAAAAACCTGGCCAACCAACTCGCTTTATGGGGGGCCTTATCCTTGCTGGCGTGCAGGGATTGCCATGCGTCCGTAGCTGCAGTAAAACATGTCCACTTTTTCCCCTCGAAAGTTTCAACGAGACACGAGGTCTCCGCGCCCTCGCGGTACTGATACCTGGGTCCCTTCTCTATATTCCGCTCGCGCTGCTGTAGGCCAGCCGACGCTTACCATAGCCAAACTCTTTACTTGTCTGCGCCCCCTCAGTTCTGGTTTTCTCTACCGCTGAATACGTGTTGCGCTGTGGGGTCTCGGCATCTACACAAGTGCACCACCTTGAGGATAGCGCGGGCAGAGTATAGAGACTATAGAGACGGCAGCCGTGTGTCACTACCTTCCGGTTCGGTTTCCGTGCACTTTGGAGCGGGAAAAAATGGCACGCTATTGCAGCTGTGGGCACACACTGAATTGTCCACTTGTAAACCCCGATTGTTCTGTCTATTACGTTGATTCAGCCTGATTCTGATGAATTCAGGAGATTTATTCCTCTATCCTCTAAGCCTTCAACTATATAAATTTTAATTCAATCCCCGCAAAAATGTTTGCTCTTCAATTACTATAATGCGTGTCGTCATGATGGCATTATCAACCACTGTTTTCTTGCAAACTGTCATAACATCTATTACGTGACCGTTGATATTACCAGATTTGGCACTGTTTACCCTTTACTGCCCCAGCCATCCGAAATCAGGCCAGTTCCTGACCGACTTTTTTCTTCGTGGGCAGAATTTGCTGGAAACTTGGCTCCAGGGGTAGTTCAGCCCGCTGAACGCGAATATCGCATCCGCTCAACCCGAAACCCCCTGGCGCCCGCACCACGGGCACCGGCGCCAAAATACCCCAAATCATTGGCGCCTATGGCGCGGGCGCCAGGAAGTTTCCGGGTCTGAGCGAATGTTGCTGTATATTCGTATTCTTGCAGGGTTCAAAAACTGTTCTAGGAGACAACATTTGAGCGAAAACTGCCCACGGAGAAAAAAGTCAGTCAGGAACTGGCCTGACTTCGGATGACTGGGCCAGTACAGGGTAAATAGTGCCCCAGATTTTCTTGTTGGGAACTTCACAGCTATTCGATGAAAATAATGTGTTCCATTCAGCAAATAGCGTACATGATTCACAACGTTACAGATCCAGGCACACACCGTTTTTGGGTAATCTTCATGAGAGAAGGGTCTATTCAGTTTTCCCTTAGGAGGCGATCTCGATGGATGTAAGAACTTCGTACTCTATAAAGTTCTTCCTATGAAATGTCAGTTTGGGATTGCCTTTCCCCAGGGTACAACATCATTGGAGAATCCTCGTCTAACGGGCCATGTTCAGATTGCTTGGGAGGAAGCCGTGTATGATTGGCGGAGAAAAGTGCTAAACCTTTTGGATTTTGCGCGATGTATATCCCCTTTCTTCCTCCATGGACTAATTGAAGATTCTTCTGAGGGAACTGGGAGTTTATGCTGTACTTGATTTTAGATTTTGTGGGGTGGTTCTTCCTGAAGAGGCTGTTTAGTGGGGTCAATTTTAGTGACCTATTTTCGTCATTATTCGGCTTCGGAGGGGAGAAACGGGAACAGGTATTGATAGGAACCACCAAGACGGTCCTACCAAGCCAAAATGCGCCCGTTTTCAGCTACTGTCGCTAATATCCCCTGTCACCTGGACCATCAGGTGGGGTGAGGGTAAACGGAAATGGAGTCGGAGGTCGTACTGGAGCTGGAGGAGTGGTGCAGGGTGGTTATTTTTCGAGAAAATTCCTTCATACTCTTGCTGGGTCGAGATTTAATGGCAAGTGGCTGGCTAAGTGTGGCGCGCGCATTACTAGAAGTCATAAATTGGCTCCCTCCAAGGATGAAAACATACTACCTGCGGAGGATAAAAGCGTTCCAGATTCGTCTGGACTGCTACGAGTACACTTTACACTGAATTTTCGTCATCCAGTTAAGGCATTTCTTATCATCTTACCTATCGTTTTAAATTTTTCCAACTCTCTCTCTCTCTCCTAGTCTTCCGAAGCTTTTGCCAGTTTTTCCCGAAAGAAGTGTCAGAGCGGGTGCGGTATATTACGCGCTCAAGACCAGATACGACCCCTTATCGGACTAAATTGCGATTCCTTTCCCCCTCCTCCACGCGGCCAGTACAACCCCAATGGGATTTTTCCAAGGATGCTGTCAATGCTGTCAGTAGAATGTACATCGGACGCATCGAGTCCTGCTCAGACCAAGTAATTCTCTACCACGGGGGCGTCCGTTGAATTGGCTTATATGATTCATTGGAGAGGATGAGAGATCTCTGATTGCCTGCATCAGCTGCCCCCCCCCCTCCAGCCAAAATATGGCGCCCACCTCATTTTGGTAGTCACTAATCCTTATCTGTAAGCTGAAATGCATGGCGCATTCCCAAAAGTGTGTTTGTAACACTTCAAAGTATTTTTTGTCTAATGGTCACTTTTTCAACTTGCCTACGACTTGCGTCGCTGAATTGTCGATTGGGTATGCAAGAACCACAAATTTTGCACATCAATCGACAATTACCGCTTTCAAACGATCGACGGAAATGATATTGAGGGCTTTGGACAAGAGAAGAGATGAAACGAAAAACTTGAACATGAACAAGAAGAGAAGACCTTCATCATGGCTGTTGATCCCTCAGGTACGAACAATTTCACTGGAGGATTTTTCCTCCTCAGTAATTTTTCCTCCATAACCTCGAAGTTTTTCTAGACGGTATCGACCCCGACATGTTGGTCGCCCGGTTTCCCGTTTCACTCACTACGATGGTACGAAAAATCGACAGGGTTCGTATCCATTTACTCCCCTATATGAAGCGTCCATTAGACCGTATTTCTAATATTTAGGCGTATTTGCACGTCTATCTTCACATCGACGAACCATTACCTGAACCACAAATTGTAACTGTAATGGTCCGGGAACGGTTACTGAACGGAGATGTAAGTCTACTGCAAACGTTTCCATTTTAGGGAATATTGACGTCATTATTTTTGCATTAATCAAGATGATTTATCCCTACGTATACATGAATGTTTTCTGTAATCGGCTAGCAATGATTGCCATTTTTAACATCAATTTTCAAAATTGAATCGAAGCTATGAAGAGGCTGCATGTTGAAACATCCTACTGCACCCTGAGAATTTCCAAAGTTGTGCACCTTTGGGGACTTGAGTGTTCCGATTTCCGAATTCCGCAAGAGTTTACGAGACTTTATTCAGGTTGGAAACGTCGTCGCAACGAACCAAGTCGAACTCCAACGAAGCGGTAAAGCTGTGTTGCCGTTGAAAGCCTCCGATGTTGAAAGGTAAAGGATTTTCAGGCAATACAGTACAGTACCACTTGTTGTTTGAAGGCGCACAGTGTGGGTGAACTAGCCAGCCTTTTTTAGCTTGTTGACTCGACGTGCTGTAGCCAGAGCACGTCCTGCACACGTCCTGTCGCTAGGAAAACTTTTCGAAAAATGCCATCCCCTGAATTCCATCCTCGGCAACGACCCCCTATTCCCCATTCTACCCACTATCTTGCCAGCTCTCCCAGCTTCCTATCGTAATTCAAAATTTTTCATTTTTCCCTAGAATTATGCCAGCCATCGAGCGTGTTAGGGAGGAGGTCGTCACCAACCCACTACTCATTTCTTCAATGGCAAGTCGAAAATAGTAGTTGTGTAGAAGTTCCGAGACGCTACCTGGTAAGGGGAGGGGGGGGGGCAATAAGGAGCAAGCAAAAACGAACCCTCCCCTTCATTGTCTCGCCCTCCATAGGAACTCTGCCAACCATGTGGATGGCACCCGTGAAACAGGAAAAATCAGCTATCAAAATAAGTTTTCCTCAGATACGACTCCCTCTCTTCAGCGACCGGATACGACCCTCAGTGGAAGGTTCCCCAGTGTGGGATGTACCCTGACTGTAACACTGCCTAATTAAACCACTTAGATCCGTGCCTTTGTCCGCGTCACCGTCGATCACACAATCTGAACCAAATTTTCCAAGCTTTAAAATTTTTTAAAAAATTGGGTTTGTGGCGAATTTCTTGAGATTTGGTCAAAGTTGAAAATAATAGTGAAAGAGGCGAGAACGTGAGACATTCAAGATGACGCTATATCGTTCCTCTTTGTACTAGTACAAGGTTTGTACTAATACATCCGTGGTATAAAAATCATCGGCTCCCGATTACTAGTTCTCTGGGGAACGTAACCCGATTATGCATGCGGAGATTTATAAGCCCATTTTTCTTGACGTTCTTTACGTCATGAATCTCTGTATCTATC